GGTGCAGAGAAAAGAATGATCGGCTCCCAGATTCGTGTGGAGGCGGGTTTTTCCCTGATTTGAAGGATAAACTCAACGAGAGGGTACTAGAAGCATGCTGTAACGTGGAGGTTTAACAAGTTCAAACTTGAAATCAGGGCAAATCCGCGACCCGCCTCCACACGAATCTGGGAGCCGATGATAGTTGTAGTGGCTATTCATTCTGACTCTGTTACATCACTTATAGCCAAATCTAGCGAGTAATGGATTAGTGGCTGAGATTTCCTACTATCTTGGTGTACTATTATACCGTGGGGTCTTGAAATCGAAATTATCAGCATTCTTTCGGGACCTAAGTTCTACTTTTTTGAAATCATTTATTCCACCATACACCGACATCCGTGTTTCAAGTTCAGACCTAAATCCAAACTCACTGTGAGAGCAGGACTTGATAAGCTGGACTATGGTAAGATAGTGATCTTTTCCGGTCTTGAATTTCCAAGGCTGTTTCTTTTAGGCGTCCAGAAAGAAAGGTTTGTCTTTGGAGGAAAAGCGTGCAAAGATGCTGGAATTATTCTACGAAACTCAGGAGTTCTACCAAATGAAAGAACTTGAGAAGGTGAGGCGACTTATGTGGTATTTAGATATTTTAATTTCGCACGAGTTGCTATTCAGATTGCTCCGAAGAAAAAGGGCATCATAGCCCAGTCTGTGAAGGAAGTTACCCAGTCATTAGTAGATGATGGTCTCGTGGAGTGTGAAAAGATAGGCACTTTCGTTTGCTACTGGGCATTCCCATCGAAAGCTTTGCAAGTGGTAATTCATATTGTACCTTTCCTGCATCTGTTTCATTTGTTCTGTATTCAAGAGAAAGCGGAGATTAGAAGAATTGAAGTCTTCAGTTTGCGAGCTGGAAGAGAAAATCAAGGAAGCCAACTCTGAAATAAAGAAGCAGCGAAAAGGAAAGGAAGTGGGTGCTTTTGACGATGACAGATCAAACAGTCTTGGTTCAATGTATGTATCGTTGATTCGTTGACCGCACGAACTGCTCAAGCGCTCGGACCGCGCGCGGCGCGGCTGAAATGTTGCGGGAGCACG